CATGTCGTATTCTTTGGTCTTTGAGAAAGAGAAAACGGTGTTTTGAAGAGGATAACTGAAATAGAACACCATTTACAAGGAAACCCCCAAAAAACAAAGGATTTTCTCAAAAAAAAAAAAAAAAAAAAAAAAAATTTGAGACAGTGGGCCGCCGGCAATCCAGGCCAATACTCGAATAACTTATCATTTTTTTTCCCTTTTCCTTGCCTTTTTATTTAATAAGTGGGTAAATTCACAGAAATTGTAAAAAATGTTTTTCTTAATTTTGTACATTTTTTGGAAATTTTCCCAAAATTTTTGGGTTTATTGAGAGTAAAGGGCAGTTTTTTTTGCAAAAGTCAAGAACTAACTTTTTTTTTTTTGTGGAATAAAGGTAAGAATTAGGGGAAATGAAAATCATAAAAAAATTCTATTAGCATTGTTCCTCGGTACCAAGCCCAAACAACCTTAAAAATTCCCATATGGACTACCACCCCAAAAGGATATTTTCAGTAAATCGTTTTTTCTCATTTTATTTGGGATATCTTTTTTACAAAATTTTAAAAGTAAATATGTAAATACATCGTCTTGTGCACCAACAATGAAAGAAAACTGAAAGGAAAAAAAAAAAAAAAAAGTTTTTCAACTGCCCCTTCGAAAACCGCAGGCGGACTTGAGTCCCCGGAGATGGGGAAAACATGCCGGGACTCTGAAGGGGCTGAAGTTGCATTGTATAACGTCGGTAGGGAACCTCTGCAAGACAGTGATGAGTGTGATGAAAAAGATTTTCTTTTTCGGCCACCCTGCCTTGGGGGAAAAGCCCAAAGTTTAATAAAAATAAAAAAGTGTTTGTACAAAGGAAAATTTTAGCTGGTTACATCCAAAAGCCCCTTTTTTACACAGACATTTCAGCAAACTAAATTAACTTTAAAATTAATAAGGCAATAAAATACATAGGTCAATAGATGAGTTACAATAAAACAAAAAAAAAAAATTCTATAGGGTTTTAATAAGTCTGAAAGAAACTACAATTTGATTAAACAAACCCTTAGGCGGACCAATGGATTATAAAATTTGAGAGAAACGGGTCTAGCAAAAATTTCCGGGGCCAGCAATTTAAAATACAAAAAAAACAAATTTACACACCAGCATCCCCCACGGAGGCGGGTGCCCAAAAAAAAAAAAAATTTTCCCATCATCACTACATCACCATTTTTGCCAAGAACATCGCTTTACCCCTCAAATCCCCCCTCTAAACTGCATATCACCCACCTCCATGACCCCAGCTAGCCAGTTTCCATGAACCCTCAAAAATGTTATCTTCTAAAACTCAACAGCATATCAAGTCAAAAAAACACTTGTCTCCACTCACCCTATCAAACATACTCACACATGCCTGTTGGTTTTCCAAGCCCCTCATTTACAAAACCTCCTTACCCCCCTCCCTCCAACTTTTCCTAGGATGACCCCTACCCTAGGGGCTTCCCTCCACACAAAAAAACAACCTAAATATACAAGATAAAAGATCAACTGACTTTACCATGCATGACTGGAGGTCGATGGAAGTGAGGAAGACACCTTCAGAGATATCACCTAATTCCCCTTGCTTCTTCTCTGGTGTCATGTCTTCCATTCTCATACTGCTCAACGTATCTAAATTTGGAGGCCTGCTAGGATTGCTCTGTAGTGCAGAGAAAGTATAAAATGTATTACGTGTCTGCAATACAGTATTTAATTATATTTATTTAAACAGTTTTGATAAAATCTTAAGACACCATTTCAGATCAGCTACAAGTGATCACTCCCTTCCCATCTCCCTTCCCCCTTGCAGAGGATAGTTACTTGTATCAAACTAGTTACCTTTTAATCCCACACCTCCAACCACCTACCATTCATTTCAGTTACAGCCAATCCATAAATATAATAAATAACAATGATGTCAGCACATATGCAAGTTTTGATATGCTAATTTTTGTTTTTGCTCTGCACAAAAAAATAGCATACAAAACAAACTAATTCTATTAAAGTTTATATCTTCTTTATATAAATATATTTCATATAAATTTCCCTCTTTTACATACCCTCCCAAACGTCTTGTACCAATCTTTGAAGCTTCCCTTCAAAATCTTTCAAAAACTTTCATAGGTAGGATTAACTAATGGTTTCCACTTGGTACCAAAACTATTACCTTTCAATCTCGACGGGCCTCAACACCCACCATGTCATTTCAGTTACAGCCAACCATAAATACAGTCTGAGGCTCCATATCCTAGCCAAGTCTCACTTTCTTATTAAAATTCCTTTACTTGCTTTTGCTAACCTACCACCTATTCTAACATACAGTAGGGCCCCGCTTTACAGCGTTTCACTTGTGGCATACCGCTAATTCGGTTCATTCGTATGAACCTAAACTCTCCATAATACGGCTCCCCCCACCTGACTTTCTAATACGGTCACCCATGCCTCACCCTGTTTGTTTAACATTTCTCCGTGAGATTCGTAAGCACTACATCTCTCCATTGTGCCTGGAAAGTCCAAAATTGTCAAGTGTTTTTAAAAAGTTATGTCATATTTTATATACATACTAGTACTTCAATGAACAAACACACTTTGAGTACTTTCCTAATCTAAGACTTTGATAAGGTTTAGTCTTGTACACATACCAGGTGATGTATGATACTTGACCTGATCTCCTTGATCCAAGATATGGAAATACTGTTTATGAGCCTGCTCTAAGACATCCAACACTAAAATTCCTATTAGGATTATAGTTTCCCATAATCACTCTCTCGTAGTACAATTATTTTTCGTGATGTAGATGCCCAAAGTGAAACAGTTTAATTGATACTCTGACTTGGTCCTGAGTTAATACATTAAAACTTCAGACGTGTTGGCGAGTAGCCAAATATCTCAGGTGTGACGTATAACAGGATTACAACCGCAGAAACTGTAGAGCATTAATTAAAGATATATTGTTTCCTGCTCATACAGAATGTCTGATTATGATTCAGATTCAGAAGCCTAGTGTCACAATTAGGAAGTATGACTCTATTTTGATTCTTAGAAAGAAAGAGCACCTAAGGCAGGAAAGTGAGCTAGTGTCTGAGCATATGTAGATAGTTCTCGCTCGCTCCTTCCTTCACTGACACTATAGTACAGAGTATAAGCTGGTAGTAATGACAAGCCTCACGCTATTACTGGTGTATACACACCTGTTATTTACTTTTATCCTAGACCAATCTAGACTTCTCAGAGACGGCTACCAAGTGTCCGACCTAAGGACAGTCCAGAAAGACATGTAATTTCCCCTAATCTCCATTACCTACTGGTCCTAATCTCTCAGGAACAGTTTTGAGAGTTTGAACGCCCTCATTATGTTGCAGACTGCACAAATTAGAGGCTCAGAGGAAATTGAACGAATGAAGATTTCCAAAGAGAAAAAGGTTTCGTCTGGTTACGACAACAGACTGATAGATCAAAGGACACATTAACTGTGCAGAAAAGCTGCATCCATGGTCCTAAGCTTTTGAAAGAGACTTAGACAGCCTATTTTGATGTGTTTGGAGAAACCAGGGGCACGTGCTATGAACTGGCCACTAAGCACTGGGCAACATTGTTGCATACAGCTTTGACAGAAGAAGCTCAAACTTTTACTGCTACCTTACCATTGCCAAGTACATAGTTATGACCTGTCAAACAAACTATTCTAGAGACTATAACTTGTTACCTGTAAGTTATCAAAGAGCAAATTCGTAACGTTACAACGACGACAAGACAAACTTTGTGTAGAGGTTGCTCAATGAGAAAAAAGTTTGCATTTCAGAGGTGGTGTAGGTCTGCCAAGTGTAACAACTACAACAGTCCTTGTTTCAGTTTGTCATTACTACGAAGAAAGTTTAACAACTGTATGCCTGCTGACTTACAAGAATATCTGATCGATCATACTACCTCAGATATTCTGGAAACTGCACAATAGCAGACATTACAAGATTTCTCACAAACTTGTACGTGCTAAAACACAAAGAAACAAGGGTAACTAAAAATTGTCCTAGAAGTTGGCAACCTAAATCAGCTGCTCATTGCCGGCCTTGATGTAACCTGCTCTGTAACTTCTCGTACCTTACCCAGGAAAACTCACAATCCTGAATCCTGTCTCTGTGCTAGCATAAATCTGATATCGAGAAGAAGAAAGTTAAATGTACCCTATTGTAAACAGAAAAGGACATGCTGAGAGTATCTGCTATAAGGTTAGAAAGAGATGACGAGATACATCGTGCGGCTGGCGCCCCCACTCAAGTCGTATCCTCTTCCAGCAACAAAGGCACCAAAATCCTAGCAATTCCACTATTCTACTGTTTTTAGATAATGGTTAACTCAGGATAGATGACAACGTCAGAAAGTGTATCTGACGAAAAGATTCGTTCAGCGATGAGTCCTTTACTTTTCGAGAGATAAAGTAGATTTGACGAATCACATCTAACTGAAATAAATTTCTTTCTTTTCAGAGAAACACTGTCAGTTATCTCACGTTATTAAGAGAAGATGTTACTGCCCATAACTGACAATAAACCTATTGCAAGATAGATGTATTGTTGAAGCCTAAGGAGGGGGCTGTTATAAAAGTGCCTCGGCAACAAAGTTTTATTGAAGTCAAGCTATTATACTGGGTTATATTCATGGTATATCCAGTGTGTATTTTCCCATCAGGTCAGAAGGACTTTTGATAGGGAACGATATCTCTTCAGCTGTATATGTAAAGAAAACACTTGTGATTGATAATAACACTGATGATAATTAGCCATTGAAGCTTTTAGAGAGAAACCTAATTTTATATTCACCTCTCACGCAATTACTAGAGCTATGTCAAAGAATTCAACAACCACTTGTTCTCCTGTTAAGTTAGTGGATGACCAATGATTTGGGCTTGAATAAGTTGTTTTAGTGACCTCTCCCAGGATCATTAACACTACTCCCCCCGTTCCATTCAACCAAGTCAAGACACAACTGACTTAATTTCTAACTCATGATGATTTTAATCAAGGATCAGTTTGTTGATCAGTCACTGGAAAGACTGAGAGATACAGCAGTTCTGAGAGTTGAAAGCAACGGACTCGATAATTGTTACTATATAGTAACGGTGTACTGATGGAGAAAAATACATGTAATTGTCAAGCTGATATGTTTCCACCACATCAAGCATTCGTAGTTGTTACCAGTTTACCTTTTCGTGAACAAGCCATTGAATTTTGCTCACAATAGTCCCATAGGAGGACATTTGGTGTCAAGAAGACCCTACTCAGTAACTGCAAAACATTTTAACTCTTGGCCAAAGATGAAGGAAAACAGTAGCTGATCAGTGCGACATTGCCAATGTGTCAAGTGAACAGGCAAGCCAGCGCACACTCCACCTACACCTCTCACTATTTTCATTAGTACTAAAGTTCAGTTCATCTGGGAAAACTAAGATAGTTCAGACTCGTTCAAAAGGTTGAAGCATCTGCTTTCCTCTGCTCCCCTGTGGTTGAAGAGTCCTAATTTCAATCTTTCCATCTTTTTACATATAGATTGCGAGTTGATTATGCATGGGTGCTTGCTGCTCCCAACAGCCAAACATCCACATGATATTCTCCATCCTATATGATAGTATTCCATCTAAGCCAAACGACACACGAGAAAAATTATCTCTAGCTCTGCTTGGTGGTGTCCTTTGAACATTTTGACGGAGTATTTGGGCACTTCCCCATTTAAATTTACGTAATTTTATGCCCAAATACCTTTGTTACTTGGCTATGTCAAATCAGTAAAGTAACTTAATCCCTCAGCCCAAATAACTATATATACGTCATGTCATGTCTAATATTTATATTTTATATATTCCACAGTATTGTGTGTAAGGAGACATAAGCTGAATGTTAGTGGGTAGCTGGACGTGTGGGTGAGGTACTGCGTGACGCAACACTGTCCTTTCCGCAGACCCCCCCCCCCCTCACTACACACCTTAACGTTTCATACTGCAAAGTTCATACTGCCTCCGCATTCCACAACCACGTACTTAAGAGTGAAATGCAGTCTCCTCTACTATGATCGAGCCTCAAACGGCCCTTCCTTGTCAGCGCTATCCTGTCTCTACACTGATGTTGACATAACCACGAGTAGCAGAGATACGATACTGTGGTACTGCCCTAAGTACAGGGGCATATCCTAGTGACGGATGCTGATGAAATTGTAGCGGTGCTTGGCACAGAGGAACTTGAATTAATATTTATGTTTAAATTTGTATTGATATGAGTAATCAGAAAGAATGTGAAAGACATTAATGCAACTCCTAGTGCGACCGTCTGTCGTGTTGGGGGGGGGGTGTGACAACCCCTGGAATGGGTTACAATGATTATTATGTATATACTTATAAGATATTACCTTTTTCATTTAATTTTATATTGCTTAAATTTGGCGATAAAGCTAAATCGTAAATGTATGATTTAAATTATTATTTTGACTGTTACATGTGTTATTTTGACTATTTGTTAGATGTACATATTATGTGCTCAGTTCAAAAAGAGTCTGATTGTCAAAACTACTGTAAATTATCGCTTGTCCGCTCGTTATACTGCCGGCTTCTGAGTGTGCTGTCCACGGGCTACAACGTATTCGAGGGGGGTGTCCTCACCTCTCGTGAAGTATTCAGTCTGCTCTAGACCTCTTGTGGTTGGACAGATTTGTCTGTCTCATTATTCTTGTTAGTTCTGTAGAACTCTGTTCACAGAACATTGTATATACGTTAGTGATTTTCGACGTGTACTGAGTTGTGTGTCTCATAGACACTCAAGAACAACTCAGTCCTTAGCTATAGCTTCTGAACCTAATTTTGTACTGGTTTTCTGTGTGATTGTCACAGTCAGGGTTTTTCCATAATGCTGACCTTAGATTCTAGTATGGGATTTTTTGTAACTTGTTTGTGGAGGATATACTGATGGTCCCTACTTAGTGGTCGTTATATTATCTTCCTTGATCCTGATTGTGTCACAGTACGCTTGTTATATGGCTTATTGGCTTAGCATCTTTCATTGTTTCAAGCACACTGTTCTGGTTGCCAGTCGGTCAAGAAGTTAGTTTTTATTAGAGGACTTTGTGCCAGTCACTTGTTTAAGTCTAGTCGAGTCGTGAGACATAGTGAACTACTTAGATCCTTACCACGCCTACACCAAACTTATTGTACATATTTGTAATATCTTATTAAATGTTAATGTACCAGACGGTACTTAAGATTATAAATGTGAATGTGCTTTCAGCACAATAATATTGAACTCGAGAGATTGATTTTGTATTTTGATTGCTGTGATCAATTTATTTTAATTTGATAATATACCTCTAGACTTAATAAATTTTATTAATTTTAATTTCTCTAGTTAGTAGCCTACCATTGTATTCCTGAAGCAACTATTGAATAATACTGAATTTTAATGATAATTGGACAAGGATACTGACTACTTGTTACGAAAACCATAAACAGGCTGAATGCTAAGAAGGGCAGTCCTTTCTAGTATTCAACTGGAGATCTCTAAGCTTTTTAGAATCGTTCGTTTTTTGTAACACCCTAATTAAGACTACAAATATTTTAAGGTAAGAATGAGTGTACTATACATGGACCCCCCGGTATTCAATGGGCATCGGTATCCGATATCCAATATTCGATGCATTTTAACGCAAAAATCGCCTCGGTATCCATCGAAAAAACACGGTTATTCGAGCAATTTTCGTTCGAGAAAACCCGTGACCACGTGTGGCCTGAACTGCCCTGTGGGTGCCAGTGTTTACAAGCCAGGCAGTGTGCTGCCGCATCTAAGATACCATTTCGGTATATTCCAATATTATCACAGTTTTTTGGTGCTGTTTCTGCAAAAATAAGTCACCAAGGCGCCCAAGAAGCTTCCTAGTCCAACCTGTGGTAAAAGGATGAGAATTAAGTATGGAAATTAAGAAAGAATTTGAAGGGTTTGGGGCTAACCCTGAGAAGCCTATGCCAGTTGTGGAATCCATTGTGCCTACTTCAAAAATTAAGGAAATGTGTGCAAAGTGGGTTGAACTGCAAACCTTTATGGATGAAAATCACCCTAACACAGCTATTGCAAGCCGTGCTGGTGACTATTACAATGACAATGTTGTGGCCCATTTTAGACAAATCTTAAAGGAACGGGAGGTACAGAGCTCTATGGACAGATTTGTTGTGCGACAGAGGTCCAGTGACTCTCAAGCTGGTCCTAGTGGCATTAAAAGAAAAAGGGAAGTAACCCCGGAAAAGGACTTGCTACCTCAAATCCTAATGGAAGGGGATTCCCCTTCAAAACAGTAACAACTTCGACACTCTCCCCTCCTCCCATCCCATCAATCATCACCAGATCTTCATTAGAGGTAAGTGTCAATTATTCTATTGTTATTATTCTATTGTTATTGTTGTTATTGTAATTATTCTATTGCATTAAACGTAATATTTCCATGTGGTAAAATTTTTTTTTTTTCATACTTTTGGGTGTCTTGCATGGATTAATTTGATTTCCATTATTTCTTATGGGGAAAATTGATTCGCTTTTCGATATTTTCGGTATTCGATGAGCTCTCAGGAACGGATTAATATCGAATACCGGGGGTTCACTGTATGTGTATTTTACTTTTTTATTGTTTTTTAATACCTAGTTATATTGCTAACCCCAATGGAAATGAGTCACACTGTCTGACTTTTTTGGGTTATCCTAGGTACTTTACACACATGCTGCTATGTACGATAATCTATGTAACTGCATTTGTGTATACATGAATAAACTTACTTACTAACAATATATGTTAGTGTAAACTTGTTATCTAGTATTTATATGCATTTACAAGTGGAAAAAAAGGTGCTCCACTTTACGGCAATTTCCGCTTTATGGTGGTAGCCTGGAACCTAACCTGCCATAAAAGTGGGGCCCTACTGTATTTACAACTGCAACATTATCCCCCTATTCATCCTATCATTTTCTTTTCTTATATTCATAAATGAGACAAAAGAATTCCTTTCCTTTATCTAATCATTGTTTACTTATATACCTCAATGTAAACACTTGGCAATACATTCTCTACCCTTCCTAAATTCTCCTTGGCCTTCTGCAATCCTAGTTTCGATCTTATCCCTGTTTCAATAATAAATCTACTTTACACTTGATCTGATATACTCACCAGACTAATTTCCCTATAATTCTTTTTCCTAAAGCAAAGGAACTATGCATGCTGTTTAACATTCCTATCTTTCATACATGCATTGAATATACACCAACCACCCAAAATTGAATACCCACCTGCTTTTAGCATCTCCATTTTAATGCTTTCTGACCAGGCTGTTTTATTTCCTTTCATTCTACCCACTGCCTAATGCTTCTATACTTACCTCTGGCTCTTCCATACTCCTACCAGGTCTTATTCTTCCCTACCAAATGAAAGAAATCACTGCCTCCCTTTCAGCATTAACATTTAAAAAAACTAAATATTTTTTCCAGCTTTCCATACCTTCCTCTCCTTAGCTAATTTTCCCCATTTTCTTAATTACTCAGTCTCTCCAAAACTGTTTCTTAATTCTCCTGACAGTTTCCCAAAGACTATTCCAGGATCACCAACTTGTGTTCATAGCCTGATAAGGCAGGCTATTGATGCTAGCTGCACTATTCAGCAAAATTTGATGACAAAGGCTTATCCTTTTTCCATTTCACTTCTCTTTTGCATTGCCTCACCATCTTTCAACTTCTCTTTTTCTGTTTACCATATTTACATTGGAAAAACCTCCCTCATAGACTAACCTCCCTTACCACTCTCTGCCAGTCATTTTTTTTTTCATCCACACTCACATGCTTATGATAACAAACCTCTGCTATACACTCCAGCAACACATTCTTAAGTCTATTCCAAACCTCTTCAACCTCATTACCTGTACTCCATTTAGTCCAACTTTCAGCAATTCCATATGCCACATACTAACTGCTGCCTCCTTACTTCATTCACTTTCACTTCTCTCTTACTTAGTGGCACCATTCTCATTGTACTCTCTCACTATAGCTTCCACTATCAATGACTTACTAGTAAATTCACAAAAACTCACGTCACTAGCAGGTCCAATCAAGAAAGCCTCTTCTACTCGAAGGCTACCCCCCTTAAAGCCATCAGTAATCGCAGAATTCATCGAGCCTATCTCATCATCATCATCATCGTCTCCAGATGCCAGAGTTCTTGAAAGCAGAAATATAACAACACCTCACCATTAAAACAAATTCTCATAAAGTATTTAAGAATAATCGTAATAAGAATAACTTTATTTCAGCATGATACACGTTTGTACAAAGGAGTATAACAACTGAGTGTACATGCCAAAAGCTCCTTTATATGCAGAGCATTTCGGGCAAACTTAACACTAACTTAAGATTAATAAGGCAGTAACAGTGCAGTAAATTTGTACATATGGTCATTAGGTGAGTTTACAATGAATAAAAGAGAATTGAATGTTCTATTAGTTCATCCTATATGGCTTTAATTGCTTTGGTAGAGAAGAGTTAAAGCTTTGATTATTAACCTCAGGCAGGCACAATGAAATTATTAACATTTCAGAAGATTACAGATATTTAGAGTAAGTATATATTGATTATAATGTTTTACCTATGTTCTTGATATTGAGCAAATGCATGTATAGTTTTTACAAATGCATTTATGATGGGCTGGGAGAGGTTAGGGAGATAAGGTGTTTTTTAACTGTAGTTTTAAAAATGCTAGTTGAGTCAGTGGTTCTGGAGATTTCTGGCAGAGAATTACAGATTTTGGGTCCTTTTATGTACATTGAGTTTTTTTTAAAATTTAGCCTGACATGGCGAACGTTATAAGAGATTTTTGTGCCGTGTTATGTCTATGGGTCCTATTGTGACTATCAAGAGAGTGCTTCAGGTCGAGATTAATATTAGAATTGACTGTTCTGTAATGTAGGTTGAACAGCAGCACGAGTGAATGTTTTGTATAGTGAGTAGGTTTAGGTCTTTGAAGAGTGGAGAGGGGGGGAGATAGTCTAGCAGTGGATTGTGTGATCATTCACACTGCAGCTTTTTATTGGGTTATTATTGGCTACCTCACCTATGCACAAATAGCATAAGTGAGGTAGGGGTAGATAAGTGAATAGCATAGTGTAAGTAGTGCTGTTTGTGGTACAGAGTAACGTATCCTTGAAAGGATGCCAACTGTTTTAGATACTTTTTTGTTATGTGTTGGATATGGGTGTTGAATTTCAGGCTGCAGATCCAGGAATTTTCCCTCATTATGTTTAGCAATAAGGATGTTGTTAAGCATGTTTAGCCTGGTCACAGACCGGGCCACGGGGACGTTGACCCCCGGAACTCTCTCCAGGTAAACTCCAGGACCTCACTTGATCTACTCTGTAGAAGGTTTTGTTTATATTAAGTGTAAGTTTATTGACAGTCATACAGGTCGCTATTTTTGCGAGCTCTTCATTAACAACAGTGTCGAGTGAGGCTAGATTAGGATGGGAGATGACCAAAGTCGTGTTGTCAGCAAAGAGAATAGGCTTAAGCTGTTGTGATACACTTGGAAGATTGTTGATGCATAAAAGGAAAAGGAGGGAGTCAAGAACACTGCCCTGTGGTACACCAGTGTCCAGGAGTCTTGTTGAGGGGGTGATGCATCCTTGATAGAGTTGTATTGCTTTCTATTAGTAAGGCAAGACTTGATATATGCAAGTGCATGGACTCTTATACTGTAATGATCAAGCTTAAGGAGTAGGATGCTGTGGTCTACTGTATCAAAAGCTTTCTTAAGGTCGGCAAAAAGTCCAAGCAGGTATTAGTTTATTCAAGTGCTGTGTAAATTAGGTCTAGCATTTTTATTATTGCATCATTTATGTTTTTGTTTCTCCTGAAGCCGAACTGACAGGGGTTGAGGATGCTTTGTGAAGTTATGGAGGAGTATAACCTTCTGTATATGAGCTTCTCAAAGATTTTGGAAAGTAAAGGCAAGTTTGGTATTGGCCTATAGTTCTTACCTATGTGTATTGGTGTAATCCTTGCCATTTTGAGTGGTACTGGGAAAAAGTGTTGGTTTCTAGTTATTTGTTAAGAGAAATGCAATGGTGGGTGAAAGGACCTGAGCTGCTCGTTTGTACAGTAGTGGTGGTACTTGGGTTATATTTCCTGATTTGTTTTTCAGAGAATTAATAATCATGGGAACCTCTGTGGGCTCTGTTGTTGCAAGATAGAGGGATGTTGGGAAGTTTCCATCTATATAATCATTAGCTCGGGGATTGGTATTTGAAGATTTGATCTTATGATTGAGAAGAAGTCATTTATCTTGTTAGCTGTATCAACAGGCTAGAGTTTCGGTTCATTTGCTTCATTTAGTACAGTATTAATAGTTCTGTTCAGTTTGTGGGTCCCCAGGATCTGAGTGTCTTTTCCAGGTCTTTTTTATATCTCCTCTCATCTCAGTGAACCTATTAGAAAAGTACTGTTGTTTGGACTTTCTGATTACAGTGGACCCCCGCATAACGATGGCATCACATAGCGATTAATCCGCATACCGCTTGCTTTAATCGCAAAAATTTTGCCTCACATACCGCTTAAAAACCCGCTCACCGATTTTCGTCCGAGACGCGTCCAATGTGCGGCCTGAGCCACGCTCACATGTTCCGCCGGTGGCATTGTTTACCAGCCAGCCTCCGCGGTAACATCCAAGCATACAATCGGAATATTTCGTATTATTACAGTGTTTTCGATGCTTTTTCTGGAAAATAAGTGACCATGGGCCCAAGAAAGCTTCTAGTGCCAACCCTACAGCAATAAGGGTGAGAATTACAATAGAGATGAAGAAAAAGATCATTGATAAGTATGAAAGTGGAGTGCGTGTCTCCGAGCTGGCCAGGTTGTATAATAAACCCCAATCAACCATCGCTACTATTGGTGGTACAGCTGCTGCTGCTGCTGCACTGTCAGCTGCTGCTGCTGCTGTAGCATCGTCTGCTGCTGCTGCTGCTGCTGCTGTAGCATCGTCTGCTGCTGCTGTAGCATCGTCTGTTGCTGCTGTACCACCGTCAGCTGCTGCTGCTGCTGTAGCATCATCTGCTTGCTGCTGTAGCATCGTCTGTTGCTGCTTACCACGTCAGCTGCTGCTGCTGCTGTAGCATCGTCTGCTGCTGCTGTAGCATCGTCTGCTGCTGCTGTAGCATCGTCTGTTGCTGCTGTACCACCGTCAGCTGCTGCTGCTGCTGTAGCACCGTTGTTGGTGTGGCTTATTGAGAATACCAAGAAACAATTAACCCCAGAGGATTTGCCACCAGGATAACCCAAAAAAGTCAGTGTCATCGAAGACTGTCTAACTTATTTCCATTGGGGTCCTTAATCTTGTCTCCCAGGATGCAACCCACACCAGTCGACTAACACCCAGGTGAACAGGGAAAATGCCTGGAACTAGTGCTCATATTGGTGAATTTAAAGCCAGCAAAGGTTGGTTTGAGAGATTTAAGAATCGTAGTGACATACACAGTGTGATAAGGCCTGTTCTGGAAGAAAATGCCAAACAGGACCTACAGTACTCAGGAGGAAAAGGCACTCCCAGGACACAGTGTTCATCAGTCATTGCTGCATCTTCAATAAAGGTAAGTGTCATTTATTCTTCATTTAGTAGACTAGTACATGCACAATATATACTGTGCATGTACTACTCTACTATTGTGCATGTATCCTTCTCTTTGTGTGTAGGAAAATGTATATTTCATGTGGTAAAAATTTTTTTTTCAGACTTTTGGGTGTCTTGCACGGATTAATTTTATTTCCATTATTTCTTATGGGGAAAATTCATTCACATACCGATTATTTCGCATAACAATTACCCCTCTTGCACGGATTAAAATCGTTATGCGGGGGTCCACTGTAATTCGGTGAGGACTGACGTACAGTGTTTAATAAATTCTTTAGTTATTAAGCCCCTTCTGTGCTGTTTTTCATAATGATGTTTCATATTGATGGATCTCATGATGCCGTTAGCAAGCCATGAGCAACATAGTCTTTTATTAGTGATCTGTTTAGGTTTTATGGGATAATGTTTGTTATATAGTCTATGTATGTATTTTGTTTAGAAATATGTCTACCCATTCATCGATATCAACAGTAAACTGAGCTTAGTTCTGTTGTGAAGTTACTTATTGATGCCTCATCATAGAGTCGAAAAGAGAACTTATTATATTCTATTGGTTGCTTACAAATATTTGTTATGAGGAAAGTTGGGTAGTAGTCAGTAGTGCTGTCCATGATTATCTCCGCTTTAAGGGGGGGCTAGTATGTTTGTCCATGTATGGTCAGTTATGGCTGCACTCGTCTCAGTTTTATTGGTTTTGTAATTGATGGTACAAGTAGTGTATTATTCATACTGTTATTGAAATCAGTTACAGGTTGGTCATCTGTTAGGCCAAGGTTAATGTAGAAGTCTCCTGCTGATAGTAGGTGGTGCTTATTCATATGTGTATCTGTAATCAGTGTTTTTAGTTTATCACTAAAAGCTGGGATATCAGTACGAGGCATCCTGTATATGGCTCCAATTGTTACAGGGCTGTCAGTTTTTTACAGATTAGTTTGCAAATATATATTCACCATATTTATCATTGAAGGATATGGTGTTGCAACATGATAGTTCATTAGGATAATAGATGGCAATACCTTCCCAATTTGTTCTGGCCTGCAGTTGTGGATTGCTGTGCATCCTGGTAGTGTGTAGATGTCTAGTACAAATACAAAATACAGTGGTTCCTCGAGATATGAACTTAATTCGTTCCAGAAGGCTGTTTGAGTGCTGATACCGAACGAATGTGTTCCCATAAGGAATAATGTAAATCAGATTAATCCATTTCAGACCCCCAAAAACACACTCACAAAAGCACTTACATAAATACACTTACAAAAGCACTTACATAAATACACTTATATAACTGTTCGAGTTTTGAGGTGTTCATATCCCGAGGTACCACTGTACAAATATTTATTTCCCTGTAAAGCTTACAATGTGTGGTTTACATGTTATAAGATTTAAGTTGCAAAGATGACCACTACTGTGCCTAGGCACTTCGAGCAGACTAATACTAATTCTTACGCTATTCTGATATAGGTCATATTTGAGCAGTACATTTAACCTATCATTAGGTACTTAATTAGGAACATTATCAGTTAGGTACATGTATAATTAG